CTGTGTCCACAGGGAAGTCTCTCCTCTCTCCCAGGCTGCTCTTCATGACCAACAGGCTTTTGAGTTGGGTTCTTTACGACACTGCCTAACTCATCCTCATGCCAGTGTTTTGACTTTTCTGCCCTTTAAAAGATGCAGTGAGAATGAAGGGGATAGATGCTCGGAGGAGGATGCTCGCCTGGGTTAGACTGCCTGCGAAGAGCATGCTCTTAACCTGTTCTCTGTTGAAAAGCAAAGACACTAAGGGGGGGGGCTTTGAATGTGAGGAGCCCCTCCCTCCAGTGCTGGGACCAAACCCAGGGTTCACACAGCAGCTCCACCCTGTGGCACACCCCGGCCCCTGGAGCTCTCTCTTACACAAAATAGTTCTCTTTCTCTTGATGTTCCTCTGTCCTAAGACAAGGCCCTAATTTTTATGAGTATCTCAAGTTAGAAACCTCTTTTTTTCATGAATGACTCAGTAGATTCCACTGAAATCAAAGTTAATAGCTCAATTACTGATAGGGAGGGAAACTTGAAGTTGCTTATCAAGGATAGCCCATTAGAAGAAGTTGGGTTAGCAGGTAAGATGGCAACCACCTTTAATCCTAGCTTCCAGTAGGCAGAGCCAGGTGGTCTTTGTGAGGTCCAGGCCAGGTGGTTTACACAGAATCCTAGGAGACTTTGGGGGCAGGGAGACTAGATTCTTGCATGTTCTCTCTCTCTCATTTTGCAAATCACTTACGATAAGAGATGGCATGGTGTAATTTTATGTCTGCTTATCTACATATTGCATAATAATAATAATTCAATATCCACCCTTATGAAAACTGGCTCTCAAACACTGGAATTCATGTTCTCATCAATAGTCAAAAACTAAAGAAATGGAAAGTTGTAATTGATGCTTGTCCCAACATGGAGTCTCCCTCCAATCTTCGAATTGAACCATCCCACCTGAAAAGCAGAAAGGGCTTTACACTGCTCATGAGTAGTATTCCATTTTCCAAGCTTCTCAGTGTCCATTTCTGGAGGCAGAGACAGATGGCCTTAGGCAAGAAAACATGATATTTGCTTAAATTACATTGACATGTCAGAATATCTTTGAAACTTCTGTCAAGTTTCTTCATAGGAGGAGACAGAGAGCATAAACTTTTGTTTGTTTTTTTGAGACAAGGTTTCTGTCTGTTCTGGCTGTTCTGGAATTCACTTTGTAGACCAGGCCACCCTTGAATTCACAAAGATTCACCTCACTCTGTCTCTTAAGTACTTTAATTAAAGGTGTGCACCACCACCACCGCCAGGCCCATAGATGCTGTTTTTACAGCTGACATCCATACACTTTAAATCTACAGTTAGAGTTAGTGTTAAAAGTCCACCTTGTGCTTTACAAACAATCCCCCTGTGGGTATACACGGACAACGGGGGTGGAGAGAAACTCCACCCAGCTCTATTCCGATGGGCTTCTACTCCTGGGACACACTTCAGCTCAAAGAGTATGTTGGGGTACAAGGGCCAAAGAGGGGGTGCTGTGCTTCCCACTGCTGCCTCTTTGAGCCCACACCTCGGAGGACAAGGGCTTCAGCACTTCACCCTGCTGGAGCTGACAGGGCCACAGACCCTTGCCCCTGCAGAGCTAGCCTCAACAGTGCCCACCTCCCTCCAGGAATACCAGTTGCACTGTGGGAGAAGCTACACTGTGAGCATCTCGTCCCCCTGCTGTCTACAGCACACTGCTTGAACCATTAGCGTGTCCCCACTGTCATAACACCCTGGAGGACAGTGGCTCTTGCTGACTCTGCATAGTATACATTGTGCCAAAGCCATCACTCACAGCCACAGATGGAATACGGAGACTATAATGGAAATAAACTTGCACAGCAAACTGACACCTGAAGGCACATCTTCAAGGGAAAACCACTCACTTCCTAAGAATTCCATAAAATGGCAGAGATATCTGATCTACCAGACGCATCCCAAAATCCCAAATGTACAAAATTGGTGTGAAATATGTAACATGATGCCCAAAAGGAGCAAAGTGACTTCTTAGCAGCAGAAGCCCTGAGAATTGCTGTGAGTGAAATGCTTGGCAAAGAGCTGATGAGAATGGGCTGGGGCTGTAGCCCAGGGGCTGAGTGTTTGTACAGCCTATGTGAGGCACAGCCGACGTCATACTGGATGGGGAGAGAACTGAAAGTATTTCCTCCGCATTCTGGAACAGGGGTAGTCAGGACAGAAAGGGGTTTATTCCAGGATTCAGAAGACAAGCAGACAGATCTAACTGAGCAACGTGAAATGATCCAGTCTAAAAGAGAAACCGCTCACACAATGGAGATCATAGCACTTGGGATCCCACGACTTTAATCCCAGGATCTGAGAAGCATAAAGGAGAAGAAAAGGGTCTCATGAGAGAATTTGTCTCCAGCCATGTTGAGGAAAGCCAGCAGTCAGGGATTAGAGTCTGAGGCTTGGTGGGGACAGGATGGCCGTTTCAGCTGGGTAGAGGGAAGAGCTAGTGGCTTGGCTGCTTTGCTTCTCTGATCTTCAGCTTGAAGCTTGAACCCCAGTATCAGTGTCTAGGTCTTTTATTTTTCATGCTACAGCCACAGTCTGGAGCTGGAGTCCCAGGGAAGTCCTAGAGAGCTGCTGCCCGTCTGCCTGCACTGGGATCCTGAAGAAGCAGGGTCTAACACCAGCAAACAAATGCCTCGGGAATAAGGTGGATGAGCTACCAGTGAGAGTGAGGACAAGCAGGCAAAAAAGCAAAAGCTTCCTTCTTCCTGTCCTTTTATGTGGACTGCCACCACAAAGTTTGGCCCGGATTTAGGATGGATCTTCTACCTTAAATAATCCAAGCAAGAAAAAGGCATCACAGGTGTTCCCAGCTGCTTGGGTTTTAGTTAATTCCAGAGGTAGTCAACTGACTACCAATTTAGCCATCACATATGTGGTTTTGGAGAAATACCTATGCAGACATTTTGCAGTTTTCCTATTTTATTATCACTTGTTTGTGCAAGCTTTTAAAGTTCATTACACATTCTACATAAAGTTCCCTTATCAAGTAGATAACGTCCAAATGTGATTTTCCATGTTTGGAATAGTCTTCATTTTTTCAATGGCATCATTTGCAGTGGAAAAGATTTTAATGCAATCCAATTTCTTGTTTTCTTTAATCCAATACCTTTAAGTAGGACACAACAAATCACAGAGGACAGGAAGACCTTTGAGTTTTGTGATTCTATCATTAGGTCTTTGGCATAGTTTTAATTAATAGTTGTGCATGCTTAAAGGAAGGTATCCCACATGTTGATAACATGTTGTCCTAAAACCATTTCATGAAAAGTCTCATTCTGTTACGCAGGCACTCTTGATCTATTTTTGTAGTTTTTAACTATTACTACTTTTTGAAAATTCATTACAGATGACTTGGAATGAGTTGATTTGTTCATGAGAACCATGAAGATAACTTTCACGTTGTAGAACACCTTAAAATGTACCTATCCTTTGTCAGATGTGTTAATGATGTAAAGATTCCAGGGCTCTGCCAAAGTATAGTTAGAACACATCATTGAAAAGATGCGGACTATTCAGCTGGGCGTTGGTGGTGCACGCCTTTAATCCCAGCACTCAGGATGCAGAGGCAGGCAGATCTCTGTGAGTTCAAGGCCAGCCTTGTCTACACTGTGAGTTCCTGGGACAGCCAGAGGTACATTGTGATACCCTGTTGGGCAGGTGAGGAACAAGAAGAAAAGATATGGACATTCCAGATTTTTAGTAAGTTCTCAAGTTATTATGTTACAGTATATTAGAACTTGCCATCAAAATATTGTCTCCGGGTAGCATGCAAATATTTGGGTATGCTTTTAATAACGGGAATATTATGATTTTGAGAAAAATGTAATTAATGTGTTAACTTCACTATAATTTCTTATGTGTATGTGTGAGAGATCTACGTGTACATGGTATATGTGTATGGTGTATGTACACATGTGTGTGGGTTCACAGCACCTATGTGCACAGAGTCCATCATTGATTGTCCTGCTCTGTCACTCTGCATATGATTCCTTTGAGACAGGGTCTCTCACTGAACATGGAGCTCGGCTGGCGGCCAGCAAGCCCTAGGATCCTCCTGTTCCATTGTACCAGTGTTAGCCTTACAGGCAGGGTCAGTGTTAGCCTTACAGGCAGGGTTAGTGTTAGTGTTAGTGTTAGTGTTACAGGAAGAGTTAGTGTTAGTGTTAGTGTTACAGGCAGGGTTAGTGTTAGGGGTACGGGGGGGGCTGGGGTTAGTGTTAGTGTTATTGTTAGTGTTAGTGTTACAGGAAGGGTTAGTGTTAGTGTTAGGGTTAATGTTAGTGTTAGTGTTACAGGCAGGGTCAGTGTTAGCCTTACAGGCAGGGGTAGTGTTAGTGTTACAGGCAGGGGTAGTGTTAGTGTTACAGGCAGGGTTAGTGTTAGTGTTACAGGCAGGGTTAGTGTTAGTGTTACAGGAAGGGTTAGTGTTAGTGTTAGTGTTAATGTTAGTGTTAGTGTTACAGGAAGGGTTAGTGTTAGTGTTAGTGTTAGTGTTACAGGCAGGGTTAGTGTTAGTGTTACAGGCAGAGTTAGTGTTAGTGTTAGTGTTAGTGTTGGTGTTAGTGTTACAGGCAGGGTCAGTGTTAGCCTTACAGGCAGGGTAAGTGTTAGCCTTACAGGCAGAGTGTTAGTGTTAGTGTTAGTGTTAGTTACAGGAAGGGTTAGTGTTAGTGTTACAAGCAGGATTAGTGTTAGTGTTAGTGTTACAGGCAGGGTCAGTGTTAGCCTTACAGGCAGGGTAAGGCGTATGCCTGTAGCTTTGCCTCAGTACTGGAAATTGAAGAGGGTCCTCATGCTTACACAGCAAGTGATCTTACCCAGTGAGCCATCTCCCCAACTCCTTCAAGTATAATTTCTTCAGTGTGTTCACTTAAACGGAATTGATTATAATTACATAATCTCCAATTATGATTCTTACTACATTTTCTTTCCTTACAGCAAAGTATCCAGAGATCAAATCCTTGATGAAACCTGACCCCAACCTGATCTGGATCATATCTATGATGTTTCTTGCTCAGCTAGTTTCATTCTACTTAGTCCAAGACTTGGAGTGGAAGTGGGTCCTATTTTGGTCTTATGTCTTTGGTAGCACCATTAACAACTCAATAACGACATCGATCCATGAGATTTCCCACAATTTCCCCTTTGGCAACCGCAGGGCGCTGTGGAACCGCTGGTTTGGAATATTTGCTAACCTCCCTTTGGGAGTTCCATTTTCGGTTTCTTATAAGAGATACCACAGAGATCATCATCGGTACCTCGGAGTTGGTGGCCTTGACGTAGATATTCCTACTGATTTTGAGGGCTGGTTCTTCTGCACTACTTTCAGGAAATTTGTCTGGATTACTTTTCAGCCTCTCTTTGTGATTTTACGACCTTTAGTTATCAACCCGAAACCAATTACTTCTCTGGAAATCATCAATACTGTGACACAGATCATTTTTGACATTATAGTTTACTATGTTTTTGGAGTTAAATCTCTAGTCTACATGTTGGCAGCCTCCTTGCTTGGCCTGGGTTTGCACCCAATTGCTGGGCATTTTATATCCGAACATTACATGTTCTTAAAGGGACATGAAACATACTCATATTATGGGCCTCTGAATTTACTGACCTTCAATGTGGGCTACCATAATGAACACCATGACTTCCCTAACATTCCTGGAAAAAACCTACCTCTGGTAAGTGAAAGATTTGGTAAATATTTTCATTTCTAATAGCTGTATACTCCAAACTAGTCTTCATTGGATCATTTTCAAAGGAAGCTCTAGTTATCAACCAAAGTTTCTCATTAAAATAAAAATCAAAGTATAATATACATCTAATACCCAGTGGGTTAGTTTTTACTAATGGTACTCTTGTAAATCCTTGAAGTCAGTGGTTACATTTAAGGTCCAGAAGTATTGGGAGAGGTGTAAAGTCTGTTATCCAGTAAATAACTGTTTTAGTGTCTCAGTGTCTGTTTTATTGCTGCAAAGAGACACCATTGCCAAGGCAACTTATAAATTAGGGGCTGGCTTTACAGTTTCAGAGGATTAGCCCATGATCATCATGACAGGGAGCATGGCAGTAGGCTGGCATGGTGCTAATGAGACTGGAGCAGGCATGCATGGGTTTTTGAAACCTCAAAGCCCACCCCAGTGACACTCCTCCTCCAACAAGGCCGCACCTCCCAGTCCTTCCTATGGGGGCCACTTTCCTTCAAGGGGCACAACTCAGAATTAGGCCACAAATCCTCCTGTGAAGTGAGCAGCGATCTCGGGGGGGGGGGGGGGGGGTTTTTGGGCCCTTGGGTTGGGGGAACTAAAAGGGGTGGGCTGGTTCACAAAATGCTACGACTACTTTGTGAAATTTCAGTACAGAAATACTTGGAGCAAGTTGGTTTGTCCATTAGAACCATGAAATCCTGCATAAGTGCTCTGAAAAACGGGTAGACATCATTTTGCGATGCTATATAAGTCCCTGGCATGGACCATCATTTGTTCCCTTGCACAGATTTGTATAATGTGTTGTAGTAAAAGTGTTTCCTGGCTTACAGAGTGACCTTTTGCAAACACATATTGAGGAATGAAATACCAATGTTAAGTTTTCTGGAACTCATGCACGAGATCTGCAATTTAATGTCAATAACTTCATCAAGGGGAACAAAGAGTGTGGGTTTGTTTTGTGCAGAACATTACAGAGGGTAACTGTCACAGGTCACACCTTCAACCTCATGATGGGCACATGAGGACCACTGTGTTCAGCAGTGATGGGTGCATGAGGACCACTGTGTTCAGCAGTGATGGGTGCATGAGGACCACTGTGTTCAGCAGGGTTACATTTTTAAGGATAAAGTGTCTGAGGAAAGCAGCACCTCTTGTGTGAGCACAACCTGGAACACATGGAATGTGATGCCGGCCCCCAGTTCCTTGGTGTCAGTCTGCCCTGAATATCTAGTGTGGCTTTGGTTGACCTCTGCTGTGTGTGTGTGTGTGTGTGTGTGTGTGTGTGTGTGTGTGTGTCTGCGTATATGCATGTTTTGTGTTCAGGGAGACCAGAGAGGGGGTTAGAGCTCCTGGAACTGGAGTTACAGGCAGTTGTGAGCTGCCGTGGGTGCTGGGAACTGAACTCGGGTCCTCTATAAGAATGAAGGTGCTCATAATTGCTGAGCCTTCTCTCTAGCCCGGGGTTTTTATTATTTTTAAGTGGGTCTGCCTTAGAGTCTAAGTCACTAGTTCAAAGGATAATGTTAGTTCAAACATAAACCCCATAGAAAGGTTATGTAACTTTCTGTAGACATTCTAAAACTGAAAACTTAGCTCAGGTTGGACATCTTGACTTAAGGCCCATGTTAACCCCTTAAGATCCACAGCTCTCTCTCTTCCTGCCGTCTTCTTTTACTGAGATAATCTTACAAACATCCCTAGGTTTCGCTAGTCCAGCATTTCCCGAACATTCTATGATACATATCAAGGAACATCATGTTTGTTTCTTGAAAACTTGCTGGTATTTTACGCGGTTGATTATAATATTTACATTTTTATACCTATTAAATGATTACTGGGAATGCAATAATAAAATGGGCATTTTGTTTGGTCGTTTGCTTTTTTGTGGTACTAGAGATGAAACCATGGCATAATGCTTGCTAGGCAAACACGTTATCACTGAGCTACACCTCCAATGCTTTTGTTTAATAGCTATATTTAAACACAGCTCATACACAGTGCTAGGCATAATGCCACATACTTTTAGTCCCAGCACTTGGGAGGCAGAGGCAGGTAGATCTCCAAATTCAAGGCTAGCCTGGTCTCCAGAGCTAGTTCCAGGACAACCAGTGCTACACAGAGAATCCTTTGTAGGAAGACACCGTAACCACGCCTCCTAAGGGCTGGCTACAGGTGTGCCTGACCACGCCTGTAGTCAGGGTGTGGTCAAGGTGATGCCAGGGTGAAGCGCTAAAGGTTTAAAGGGACAGGGAACACACATGGTGGCTCTTTTCCTGCTGCTTTGGCTTGCTCTGCTTCCTGTCGGTTGGCATTTACCAATTAAAGATATCCTGACCATTTCGGGCTTTGTATTAGTAATTAATCGTGATAATCCTTGTCTTGAAAAACCAAAATACACTGGGCGTTGGTGGCACACGCCTTTAATCCCAGCACTCGGGAGGCAGAGGCAGGCAGATCTCTGTGAGGTCAAGGCCAGCTTGGTCTCCAGAGTGAGTGCCAGGATAGGCTCCAAAGCTACACAGAGAAACCCTGTCTCGAAAAACCAAAAAAAAAAAAAAAATTACATCTATATCTATCTATATATACACACATGTGTGTTTATGTATGTTTGTGTGTGTATAATCCACACACAAAATAGCCATTTGAAGTAGGTTTTAGAGTATTTATACAGTATGCAGCTATCCCATTAATCAATTGCAAAACATGTCCATTACAAAAGTATTTTAAAATTCAAACTTTTAAACTATTTAAAAACTTAGTTTTAGTGAGATTTTCAGTTCACACAACTTTTTTTTTTTTTTTTTTTTTTTTTGGTTTTTCGAGACAGGGTTTCTCTGTGCATTGGAGGCTTTCCTGGAACTAGCTCTTGTAGACCAGGCTGGTCTCGAACTCACAGAGATCCACCTGCCTCTGCCTCCTGAGTGCCGGGATTAAAGGCGTGCGCCACCAACGCCCGGCTCAGTTCACACAACTCTTAAAAAATATTTACATTTTCCTCTGTGTGTGTGTGTGTGTGTGTGTGTGTGTGTGTGTGCCTGCATGGAAGTCAGAGGACATTTGTAAAGAGTTGGTTCTCTCCTTCTACCATGTGAATTCTTGAAGTAGTAATCTAATTAATCTTTATCAATAAAAATTTGGGAGTCAGATATTGGGGTAAGAACCTGAGATATCAGAGAACAGGGAGTAGCCACCAGTTTTCTTTTCCTATCTCTTCCATTCCTTAGTCCAAAAGGGTCAAGATCCTCCGTATCCCCACCCCCACCACTTCCTGTCTCCTCTGTCTACAGTCCTTCAAACCTCTATGCTCAGCTAGTGGCTAGCTCTGCCCTCTGACTCCAAGCAAGTTTTATTTGTCAGAACACAATCAAAATATCACAAAACAGATTCTGGGAATTGGATTCAGAGCTTTAGGATTGACAGCAGGTGCCTTTAACTGCTGAGCGATCTCATAGCCCACCAGTAAGCTTGCATTTCTCAATTACTTACAACTTCATAAAACATATAGATGTTATAAATACAGCATACCTGCATTACAACAATAGACATCCAAGTATTATGTTGGCATTTTAATAATAATATGGCTGAACACATTCCCTAGAATTTATAATCCGGATATAATGTTGAAAATGTATTCATTTCCATCTTATGTCCCTTAAATGTTTATAATTTATCATCTTTTATGTCATCCTGGTTGCTATTATACTTTTGTCTGAATGAATGTCTTAAATGCTTATCCAGGCTCTGACTGGCTCTGTTGTTTTACAAATTTGGAACTCCAGTGTCATTGTATTCTAGCTGCTAAGCTAAACTGATTGCTTTGTCATAAGTCCGGGGCAGATTCCGAGACTGTTTATGTGTGTGTAGTCTGTAGTCTTATTCATGAAGAACTTCAGGAGTTTGAAGGACCATGAGCAAAGGTGTTGCCCTTTGCCTGAGTTGGCATTTTAGCCCTCTGTCTGTGTCAGACACTCACCTGTTCTCTTGAGGTCTCAGTAACACTCACTGTTCACCTTACTGTGTTTCCAGGTGAGGAAAATAGCAGCTGAATATTACGATAAACTCCCCCAACACACCTCCTGGATCAAACTACTGTATGATTTTATGACGGATGACACACTGAGTCCCTATACACGGGTGAAGAGGCTTCAGAAAGGGAAATAGCTTTTGGAGAAGCACTCTCAGTCAAGGCAAATTCTGCAAAGATTTTAAATAGCTGACAATGTGCATTTTTTTCTTGTTAAAATTAAGGTGAGTGATGCTCAGAAGCTGCCCCGAAAGAATTTCATCTCCATAATATCAAGAAGCTGCCACGCTTCCTGTCAGTCTCACTCTGTCCCAGAGCTCAGCTGTATGCTTGTCCATAGCCATCCCTGAGAGAGTGTTCACCCTTGTCTGCCATTTTGCAAGCATATTGTAAAACTGTCCATTTCTACTATATGGTTTTTGTCACAAATTTTTACCTTTAAAATAGCTAGTACCCTAAGGAATTAATCATAATGCATCAGTATCTACTGCTTTTTTTTTTTTTTTTTGTATTCTTTTCTTTATTTCATATGGTTACCTGGGTACCAGAGGAAACAGTTTAAATTTTCCTTTCAAAAGAGATTTTTTTTTGAGTACTTTCTTTAGTTCTTGTGGAGGGGAAGTGACTGATCCACTGGCCTGGAGTTCTGACTCTCTGTGTGGGATGCCACATGCAGGTTGCAGTTGTTTGAAAGAAAGTGGCCCCCAAAGACAGCAATACTATTAGGAGGTATGGCGTTGTTGGAGGAAGAGAGTTAGTTGTTCAGGATGGGCTTTGAAGTCTTTTTCTCAAGTTTCACTCAGTGTGACAGTCATTCAACTTCCTGATGCCTTTTGGTCAAGATGTAGCCAGCATGGCGTCTGCATTCACCCGGCTGTGTTCCCTCTCACGATGATAAAGGACTGAACCTCTGAAACTGTAAGCATTTCGTTTTCTGTAGAAGAGTTGCTGTGGTCATGGTGTCCTAAACTAACGCGAGTTTCAG